GTAGGCGAGTGCTCCCGTCCGCTGGTATGGAGGGAAAGGGGCGAAACGGGAGGATGGCTCTGCATATTTCATGCGATTTTAATGTGTCTCCGCTGGCGCTCCGCTCACCGAACACTCGGTAGAATCCAGAGAGAGGGAGGGAGAGAGGGTGAAAGAGAGAAGGACTGTATGCCACCACGTTGCACGGGGCAGGAGTGACTGCCGTGATGCTCTAATCGGCTTACCCAACAAGCCATCCTTATTCCCGGCCTCGGTCGCTCTCTCGTTTCCACCCCCGTTGTCCCGCTCTTCTTCACTACTTCCCGGGATCCCCTGTCGGCGCTCCTTATCCGCGCCGTGCCCTAAACGACGGCTATTACTTTGCGGTTCGCCTCGCTCCTGTATCCTTCAAGGACTCCGACGGTTCTTAAATGGTAAATGGCGAAGAGACCAGAGATGAGAGGAAGAAAGACTGCGCATGCAACTCTCTGGATTTTCGCGAGCAGAAACTCAATTAAAAAGTAGCGTCTTAATTAAAGTTGTGTGAGAAATATTTCGGCGAAAATATTGAATAGTGAAAAACGCACTAAATATCAAAGAAATCGACGCACTCCGATAAAATAATTCTGACTTCACGAAAATTGATTTTACAAAATATTAGTCTGTAATTTAAAAAAAACAGACGTTTTTAAATAAATGGTTCTTGTACCGTGTGTGATATAATTTTTTTATGTTTTCATCAATGTATAGCACATGCAAAGTTTCACTGAATAAGAAGGCTTTGAAGTGAGAATCGATTTTTTTTTATTAACTGTGTGGCTACATGCTTATTATTTATAAAAAATTTCTAACGCGAGTTCTGTTCTCAGAAGAATGCCTTTTGTATGCACAGGAGGAAAATTTCTGGCTTGTAACGATATTGTAGGAATATTATAATGTGAAAGAAGACATGTATTATATGTTGGTCTTATTATGGATGGTATTACTCGAGAGACACAAGGACAGTGTCGATGATCTGTTTACGCGAGTTTAACAATAGACATCTTAAGTTGTGTTTGGGCATTACCGATCGGCTTTGGCTGACAATGAACGGAAGATTAATATTAGGATCGGCTGCAACAATTGAAAACCGTTCGCCGATGAGAGTCATCGGAGCAGGCATTTTTTTGTACATCTTACAATATCCTTTACATCAATTCTTTTAGGAAACATTAATAGTTATAATAAAATTTACAAAATACTAATATATTCGATTTTATACAGTCTGCGTGACATACAGTTGAACGTCCTCGTTAAAATTTAAATATCTTGAATTAAAAATACTGTAGTATTTATAGAATTAACTTAAGTATTTTAGCGGCATCTTAAATAACTTTCTGATCAGCGTCTAATTAAAAAATCATCGTGAGAGTTCGATTCAAAGATATATTAAGATATTTCATCCTAATAAAATATCCATCCATAATAAAATCGACTTGTTATCAGTGAAGCTTCGCTTTCGGAGCTTTTCAATTAAAATCTCTTGATTAAGCCGAACAAGTAGTTTCAGGATGAAAAATAGGATTTTCCTCGCGAAGAAAACGCTTCGTTCGACGAGCGAATACCGTAACATACGCAACAGTACGCGGATAAATGAATACTTTTAGAGAAAAACATTTTGTCTAGATATATGTATATGCGCGTATGTGCGCGATACGCGACTCTGCCCTACCTTTTGTGCGTGTTTGCCGAGTGCACGAGGGGAACACAGTTGGTTGCCCTAGGCCAGAATATGCATTATTGGATAGAGTTACATTAAACATACGCGGCGCGCGCGTACCGCATGCTCGCTCACTTCCTCTCGCTTCCGATGCCGGTATCCGCGACTCGCGAGCACGTTATTCGCGCCACGAGATATCGGGTAAACCCGATCAGTTTACCGCCGACAAACATATGAGTGGCGCATTGTCGTCGGACGGTGAACGCCCGCGTCATCGCGTATTTCTAACCGACGGCATGCCCACCCCTGTTCGCAATTATTATGCAGTAGATTAATTATACTCTGTCGTTTAATTATACGCCGCGCGCACGGAATGGATTATCACATTCTCTTTCAGCCGCAGACTATCTGACAAATATGAAATTGAGCTTTCTTTTCAAGTTTAGCGAAACGTATCTATTTGTCTAGACCAGGAGAACCTATGGCACGCGTGCCGCAGATAGCATGGGAGAAAATTTTGTTGGCACGCAACAGAGATTTGTTTGCATGAAATTTTTATTTTATTAGATGGAATAATTATTTATCAATTTTAATTTTTTTAAATTATCTAATTAAAAATAATATTTGAATATAATAGTTTTAAAATTTGAATAAATATTGAAGTAAATTGTTACTAATATTATTAAAATTAATACTGTTCCTAATTTATAAAAATTTAGTTTCTTTCTATCGCTGATATTTTACTGCGCTTACTGCGGAACGTTGAAACAACGTAAAAAGCTAAAATCCATAAGAAAGGATATATTTAAAATCTTACATTACACAAGGTTTAACAAAGTTTAGAATAAATACACAATTATTTACTAATTATTTATTTATTTATTATTAATAAATACACAAGTAATTTAATAAGATTTTAAGATTTTAAAGATTTATTTCTAGATTTATGTAATACATTTTAAAAGATTGTTGATATTTATAATTATTTCATAATTACATGTGGGTCATATCGGATTAAAATTCGCTATCTTAACAAGCTGTATACAATATTGTATGTATACGTATATACGAGGCAAAGTGGGTGTTGTTTCACATTGGATCCTCGTATATAGATTGCGAAAAATTTTACCAGGGGTGTATCGTTATCTCATGAACACTCTACAACTAATTTTTGTCGTATCACAGAATCGCATTAATCGTTTGATTGCAATTTTAATTCGATAGCAAGAACAATTGCTTCTTCATGTATATCATTCTGTATTGTGTCCTTGTACATACGTATCACATGCAAGAAGAATGGCAGGAGAATTAGTATATTATTAATATCGGACGATTGAAGTATATCTATTAATATTGTTCCGTAGAAGAGATATTAATGAGATTTTATTAAGAAAAAATTCAGGCATAAGCAACGAGAACTTTGAACTTTGCATAGATTGCCAAATAGATTGCCTAGAACAATTGATTGAAAATTGAATGTGGGTGAATCCTATATTATACTTATATCGTTGTCTGTATGCTAAGCTCTGCGGATTTCTTTTTTTTTTCTTTTTTTTTTAGATTATGTGGCGAATATTGAATTGTAAGATTATAACTCTATTATTCATGCAAAAATTCTTAAAATTGTATTTATAAGTGTATATGTTTTAAAGATATAAATTGCTACTATTAAAAAGGCACAAATGTAAATAGCTACTAGATCAATGATTATTTTTTTCATCATTATTCGCAAATTTAAGAGAAACTGCCGTATTCTATATCTTGCTTGCAATGAAAGAGAGGCATTGACTGCTTGCATATTAATATAGCAGTATATATCCATGCTTCCAGCAAAAAAATTAAGAGCTGGAATGCAGAAATGCGTAAATGCAAAGTACATACACTCTCCGTTTAAGTATAAACGGAGATTAGATTCTATATTATCGAAAATTTCAAAATTTTAACTGTACGGAAAGAGATGTAATGCTAATAATCACGCTTCAGCAATTGTGTCTTTTGCATGATGGTTCTAATAGAAGTTAAAACTTCATAGCTCGATAGCTGGACCCTATTTTTTAATTTGGCACATACGGCTATTGTTCGTACGTATCTCGGAACAAGTTCAACCTTTAATCCAGATAATATATCTGTGTCAAATTTTTAATATGGATGGTAACAATTAAGCCTCGAATGTCTTTGATGTGCCTTCGACAAATCAGCGTGCCAGTTAAAACTTCACCTACGACAAAAGAATGTAAATAAATTTAAATGTAATATAATCATATAAACTGTATTGTAAAAATTGATTAATAACTCACCTTCGGTTATGCTAATAGGCTCGCTTAAAGAAAATACTGTTTGTTTCCAATGTGTGGGTGTGGAATGAGGACTTGTGCTGAAATAAACTGGATTCTCAAGATCGAAAAAAATATCGAAATAACCGACTATCGCAGTTAACGATCCCGTTTTTTTCACGTTCAACGTGAACGGAGATGAAAAATTAACGCAGTCCGTGGTAGCTTTATACAAATCGAAGACTTGGATCTCTGCAGTGCTTGTTACCAGATTATCAACGTTACAAATCTCTATACTAGGTTCATGTACCACCTGCCCCTTCATACAACTCATTTTAAAACCGTACACGTTTGACCAATAATCAACCAGATCGACATATCTTTCTGTAAAGCAATATTATAAAATAATTTAATATAAATAATTGATTATAATAATTTCGAAAATCACTTATAAAGTAGTAAGTATAAAGTTTTATCATAAAATATATCTAATTATTGCAATAAAAAAAACATTGCAACACATACTCGTGTCACCGCTTCCTATAATACTGATTGTGCATCTGTTTGGAAGAATTACTCCACCAGGTGCTAAATAATGGTCCCTAGCGTAGATGACTGTGTCTAACATTCCTTCAAACAAAAGAAAATATCCCATCCACTCGGATATTATCGCGTCTACTTTCTCTTCTCCTATATTAATATCCTCCAAACGACCTTTCTTCAAAGTAATTATGTCACTGAGATTGTTCTCCCTGTAATATCAATTAATGTTTTATTATTAATATATTCTTCATAATCAATGAGAATCAATGTAACATAGAAACTATCTGATTTGTAATAATCTCTCAATATATGATACAATTTACTGTTGTATATATTTAGATGCATGAAACATGATATTAGATATGCTGTGGCTATGTGCAATGTGTATGTATGTTTTATGTATGTACCTTATTATATCCATAGCATGATATATCACATCAGACTGATCAACACTAATAACTTTACAACAACCAGACTTTGCCGCAAACATAGACAGAATACCAGTCCCACAACCAACATCCAACATTATGCAATTGTGGAATCTGTTAGAATTTGTTAATAATGCATCACGGTAACTCTCCGTTCGTACTTTATCCTAAACAAATATTTTCTGTGTATATTTGCACAATTAAAGCATTAATCAGTGTTCTATTTTGAAAAGACATTCATTCTTCTTCAGAATTATAATATTAGCTTATTATTTCTTATTATTTTATAAATTCAAGTATTATGTGACTAAATTCTTATTGATTTACATTAATAGATTTTTTTCAAAACTTACAGTTAACATTTCATGATGTATAGCAAAGTGACTATAAGTATTGAAGTAACCTTCATCAGCATTAGGATTGTGTGCATTGACTAGAGTATTCTTTTCTTTCCCATCCAAATCGTCACCTAGTATTAATTTCTGAACTTTCTCTTTCATCTCCTCCATTTGCTACAAAGAATAAATTTTCTTGTATTACCATACACAAAAATATACTTAATTATTCTATACTTATACCTGTTTCACCAGAAAACACATTGTTTCACTTTCCATCAACTGAGATTTAAGCAATCTTATTGTTCTCTTCATGTCTTCATACTGCGTTTTTGATAAAATAACATTGTCATCACTTTGTATATATTGTACTCCTTTTTCTTCACTCACATCCTTAATATTAATGAGATCTTCAATATCTTTAATAAAATAATATTTTTCAAGTCACTGCATAATTTGTATAATATCATCAATAGAAAAGTTAAGTTTAGTTTAAAGCTTTGACATAGTCAAAATTTTAATTTAAAAAACTTTTGCTATACTTACCATACATTAACCACGGATCATCCTCTACCATAGGACGCAAATATTCATCTTTGTCCCAAGCTTCTATACCCAATATATTTAGTTGTTCAGGTAAAATCTCCTTACAGCGAATAAAATTGATTAACTTAATATACGAGTACGTATCGTGAATATGCTTCTTTATAAAATTGCAGAAATTAAACTTGTGAAAAGTCTCAATGTGGTGCAGCGAGGAAGAGAATCCATTAATTGTTTCTGTACAAAACAAACATGGAATGTCGTGATGATCCTCACCATTTTCTTCCCAATCATCTCCACTGTCATTATCACTTGATATGTCATTACATTCTGAAAAAAATTTCCAGTAATATACTTAGCTAGAGAAAAAAGTAATAAAAAATAATATTAACATAACATATTTAATACGTATATATATGTAAATAATAAAAATAATAATAATAATATAAAATTAAAACATATTTTTCTTTCATTTCATACAAAATCAAATATTGCAAAATCAAACTCCAAAAAAACATCTTTTATGTTAAATTATAACCGTTTCACTTGTTCATCACCATATATTATAAGTCTTACACTTTTCTATTAAGTTTTGCAATCATTATGACTTTCATTAATGTTTTACCTAATTTTGCCATGATAACTCCGTTTCCTTCACAATCTTAACCACTAAATCAGTTTGGAGCAACTGCAAACGCTGCTGTTTGAGGCGAACACGTGTCGACGGCAAATATAATCATCTGCCCTCTTTTCCCAAGCTCAGAAATCACTTTAGTATATCTTGTGCGACAATACCGAATGAGTCGATTTCAAATTACCTAAATTTGAAACGTTTAAAAATACGATTTGACTTTTTTTAACACTATTTACTTACATTTTTAGCATTTTAAATTCGGGTAATTTGGACGAAAAAATGATGTCTGAATTAAGATATCACAAATAAGTTAAGAGCTCAAACCATGGAAGATATCAAATAAAAAATAATTTATTTTGACATTTTAGGTATTTTAATATATTACTCATATATATTATAATAGTTTATTATAGACACACACATATTGCATACAGAAAGTCAAATATATTTCTAATATTTATAATTTTTTGCTATACAAAATATATATATATTTAAAATTTCTTTTGTATAATTTTTTCTTTTTTACATTCAGTGATAGAATTTTTGACATATTCACAAGTAACATGATTACGAGAAAAAAATAGTTATTGATCTCTGTCGGAATCTCTGTCGAGTTTACAGGCATTCGATGGAGTACGCTTAGAATAACGCATGGAAGTAATGTCACTTTCAGCGTTTTCGAGTTTCCTTTTCACGCCATTCTCGCCTAATGTAGGTTTGTTAATTTCCCGATATATGTTCTGCGCAACGTGGAAATCCGTGTGTTCGCTGAACTTTGTAAGAGGTATCATTTGATCACACTCAGCACATCGCTCCAAAGGTACGTCGTGCTCGCTTGAATTGGTCTTGATCAAAAAGTTAGATAGAAGACTGTGTGTTTTGCCACTCTTACCGGCAGCTTTGAATTTGCTAGGTCTTCCTTTCGTCGATTTGGGTAAATCGCGAGCAATTTTGATGTTTTCTTGCTTTTTACTCCGCGATTTCAGCAACTTTGCCTCCTCCTGCAATTCAGCCGGCAACAAAGACAAGATATCTGGATCTATGTCATCTACATTTGGAAATATCTCTCGTAATCGCACTGAAGGCTCTTGCGCAGAAATTTCTTCATTGTTCTCATTTGTGGAATTCTGGCCATTGCTATTTACATGAGTATATGCATAACTCGTGGAAGGTTTTCCCAGATCATTCTCTTGCACACACAAATCTAAACTATAATCGTTGTTGTTCTTATTATTTACATCTTTTTCGTCTGTATTAGATACGATTGATTGTTTTCTGCATTCTAATTCCTTCACAATATCAATACTTCTATCAGTGTTGTCAAAACATTCCTTTTTTCCTGTCTTATATGCATTCATAAAAAATGAATCTTGAAAATCGTTATTATTTATTACTACACTCGACAAATGTTTATCCTTTGCTTTATTGCGCTCGTTGCACACCTGGATCAATTTCATAACTCGTTTCGATATGGGCGAATTTTTCGAGCTCATATTTAACGAATTGTCGAGGATTCCCTTACTTTCTTTCATTCTTACTTTACTATTCTTAATTATTGATTTTTTTATAACAGAAGATTCTTTGACACTTTGAGATTTCTCTTCTTCCATTTTTTGTATTGATTCTTCTTTGCTAGTGGAAACAGCAAGAGTTTGCTCTCTTCCCGCCTCTAGGTTTGATTTAGAATTTATTGTACTTCCAGACGAATTTATACTATCCAATTTATCAATTTCAGAATTTTTGTTACTTTCTTTATGTTTTAAATCAGTTTTAAAAAATTTAAGGAAGCTATTGCTCTCTTTCGATGGTACAAATTTGCTAGCAGACAGGCCTATACATGTTAATGGACACTGCGTTGATTTTGTAACAACTTCTATGCATTGGTTCGCCATTTTTTCCGATTTGTACGAGTTCAAGGTGAACGAACGCGTTTGAGATATAGTACTTCTATTTTGATAGTAACTGTAAGAAACAATGAGTAATGTCGCACGTCGATGATTTTCTGCGAGATCCTCTTCGAGCCGTTCACAAACTTCAGCTGCTAAATCTTGGGCCCAGTTTTTTAACTATATACATAAAATATATACTTATTTAATCTGCAAATATTTCTGTATGTTTTTATATATTATAATTCATCTATTTTTACTTTACTCTTATCTTACCACTTCCAGTGAGGTAATAGCTTGCTTTCCGGGAAATGTTTTAAACGCTGCGATGGACTTTGATAGCAATCTGTTAATGACAGGCTCATTGTCTATACCTCTTGCAATATTGTACAACCAAAATCTAAAGAATAGAATAGAATTATATAAAAACTAATTAATTACCATCAAACTTGATCTGTATATCAAGAAAACTTCAGCAACTTACCCTGTCTTCTCGTCAAAATGTTTTTGTAATTGTTCCAAGGAATACTGTAATAGATCTTCCATAACATTGCAACCAAGAGATTCTACTACAATATCACCAAATTTTCCACCAAGATTTCGAATTTTTTTTATCGGAAGTTTTGAATACAGACTTGGAACAGCTATCTCAGGTAAAATTGTTTGACAATTTGGTTTGTGTAATCCACATGCTAATTTTGCTAATATCTAAATAGATTAAATAAAACATTAAATTAACATGCAAGTTATTAAAATGTAATATGATAAAAAATATTATGAGAACATTAACCTTATTCTGTGAAATTCCAGCGGAACATTTGAATCCAGTTTCTTTATATATGCTAGTCCTTATTTCCTCAACTATTACACCAGCCACAGCAAGTCTTTGAGCTTGCATGTCATGCAATTCATTCAAAGTATCCTGTAACCAAGTCTGTAGCCCTTGATATCTTTCTTCTGAAATAACAATGCATACTTTTAATGTAAATAAATGATAAACAACATCTAAGTTAATCATTCAAATAGTTTATTTAGTCTTCACGTTACCTTCATCATTTTTATTAACTTCTGAATATCCTACAATGTATGTATTTGTAAGAGATAATATTAATTCTTTCAAAGAAGATTTAGATGTCACTATTTTCTTGTCGACAATGTCTGTAATATCAAGATATGCCTCATCAACACTGGCACGTTCTATTGTATTACAGTGTCTTTTTATCACTTCAATAACTTCACGACCAGCTTTTCTATATCTGTATTAATAGCACAAATTATTAGTACATCAAATATTAAAATAATATAAATAATTCGTCGATTATACACCTAAAAATTTAGTCTAATAAACTACTACCTGGATGTATCTGCTTTTCCACGAAGGCATGGTACACTGACTAGAACTATATCTGGACATTTTTCTTTAGCTTCCATGCCTCTCATATGCCTAGTTACTCCAAAATTTCGTGCCTCATAATTGACAGCTATAATTCTGCAAAAATATTATTTCTTGCTGTTAGTTATTTGCTATTCATATAATCATATTTAGAATTTAAATAATAAATTAAATTTCTATATACAAAACTAATCACTTTTTCAATAAAATTATAAGACATTTTTCTGAACAAAAAAGCCAAATTAAATAAATATATTTGAGAGATAAATATATATAAAAAAATAAAATATCAGTCATGAATTTTTCTTTGTTAGTTGAGCTAAAATCTTATTTTTCTTATATATCGTATAAAGCATTTAAAAAAATGAAGAATATAACTATAAGAATATATAAGAAAATAAAAAACATAATTATTGATATAAAAACAAAATAAAATTTATAAAAATAAATTTCTCTTACTTTCCAAGTTTCCATTGATTATACTGAACGACAGCGAGTGGTTTTCCTTTATATTGTGGTTGCAATTTTGTCTCAACTTGGCAGAAGAAACAATCCATGTCTATCAGAACAACGATTCTATTACCCACACTCGTCATTTTACCAGAATATTCTCTTATATGTATAACATTCAATTATTTTTAAATCATTTAATGCAATTGATTATCAATATCGTTTGTAATTTTATTTTAACATTATACAGATGATTAGCACTCCAGTTTATTGTAACTGCTTACAAAAGACCTGTAACAGAGAAAAGACTGAGAGTGGACATGCCCGCATTTTACGTGTTTCTGTTCGCTAGCGCCTCTATATGTGCACAAAACGTGCACATTGAACTACGTAGCTAATGTCCACGAATGCCGTAAGGCCAAATTTCCACTGAGCGCGTCACGTTATCCGCCGCGTCACGAATTAACCAATCAAAACATCCCATTTATTGCATCATTTGCCGCGCGATTCCTTGCGCAACGCATCAGTTAGATTGCTCGACATTCTAGAGACAAAAGATTCTTCTTTTGTATGAGATCCCAGATCGCGCGTATTCGTTATGAGGCAGGTCACAGAAAATGTAACATTATTCGTAAGTTCCAAATTATTATTCTCTACTAATGGCTTAGTTTACACCGATTGTTTAGTACGCGTACCAAGTATTAAATCTGCTTCTTTGATTGGTGTAGATTTTACACTAAACAATTTATACCTATCGAAGAAGTAGATTTAGTATTTAGTACGCGTACTAAACAATCGGTGTAAATTAAGCCATTATTTCTCGTCTCCTTGCGGCGACGCGTTCAGTGTGAATAAGAACGACGCTATTCTTCAGCTTACCTCGCGTCGCGTCGTGACGCGAGTCATGACGCAACGCGTGACGCGTTTAGTGGGAATTCGCCCTATGTATATACACCACCGGATTATAGCTGCTGCGCCGCGCATGCGCAAAAAAAAGCGGCAACACGTTCCATACGCCAAGCCCCAAATTATTGATCGAGGTTTAGTATAGACATCTGTGATATATATATATATAGTTCAGTGTTTCATTCTGTTTCGTTCAGGGTCGGTTGTTCCAACTTCTTGGTAGGTTTATCCGTCAGGTATTTATTAATAAATATTTGTAATCTTTACTCAGTAGTTGGAATACCAAGTAAAATTACTTCTATCGTTATTACCAAAATGTAATTTTACTTGGTATTTCAACTGTAAAAAAAGGCTTTTTATTTTACGTTACTTACTACAATTCTATATCTACTACAATTCCATTTTACGTTATTTATTACAATTCTGTAGGACAAACGCGTCATAATGCCCGCGTGATTTAAAACACAAATAACACATATAATAGGAAAGACTCATATATGATAACTATCAAATAATATAATAGAAAGGCATTAAGAGCCGTCGCGGGATGTGCGAAATTATTTTAATTTTTCTTAAAGAAATTAATTTATTAGTCTACGCACTAACATAACAACGGCTCTTAATGCCTTTCTATTATATTATTTGATAGTTATCATATATAAGCCTTTCCTATTATATGTGTTATTCGATAATTAATATTACGTATGAATTCTCTGTTATTTTTCTAACTTTATTTTAATGTTGCAATTGTATTCTTAATTTATTCAGGTGGTTGAAGAATGGTCGCGAAATTACACTAGGCTGGAGCGTCGCGACGTCAGTCACACGCACTGGATCATTGTGTTTTCCTTCTGCAGAGACACTACCTTCGTCGTGCAGAGTCTAACGGCCAGGAATACCTCTTCCGGGTAATGGCGGCCAACGACAACGGCATAGATCCGTCGTTCGAGGGTGCCAATCTGATCAGGACAAAGGCGCCGTTCGATCCGCCAGGACCGCCGGGCACGCCCAAAGTCACCGAGGTTGGCGGCGACTTTGTTAATCTCTCGTGAGAGAAACCGGAAATAAACGGCGGCGTCAAAATCTTGGGTTACTGGATCGACAAACGTGAGGTCGGCAGTCAGGCCTGGCAGCGCGTAAACGCTAGTATCTGCCGACGCAGATCAATATCAGCAATCTGATCGAGGGCAGGCAGTACGAGTTCCGAGTGTTCACGCAGAACTCAGCTGGGCTCGGTCCGGAATTGAAGGCCTCGACTTCCGTGAAGATCGTTGATCCGCAGGCGGCGAAGCCTCCGGAGATCATTCAACCTCTCAACAAGGTTTGTGTCTAGCAATTGATATAATTGATTTCCAAAAAATATCCGAGAAATATCAGAAAAAAATATTAAAAGTTGTTTAAAATGTGGTAAAAAATTGATTTTTTCAGAGAATCTTATTTTTACTACTTTTTTAAAAGAATTTTTTTACATAATTTCAAGATAAAATATGGAAATTAAACATTTTTCAATATCTATCGTTTTTTTTCTTGTTTTTTAGATCCAAGACAAAGCAATTAACTCTTTCTATTTATTTTATTAGGTGAATTGCGTCCAGAATCACAATGCACACTTCCAGTGCAAGATCATCGGCACGCCGAGACCAACCATCACGTGGTTCAAAGGCGCCCGTGAAATCGTGAGCGGCAGTCGCTACAACATTTATTCCGAGGGCGACACTCACAATCTTATCATCCACGACGTGTTCGGCGAAAACGCTGACGAGTACTTCTGCCGCGCGGTGAACAAGTGTGGCGTGAAGTCCACGAAGGGCGAACTCTTCATCAAGACGCTACTAAAACTGAACGTGCCGCCACAATTCCGTGACACCGCCTTCTTCGACAAGAGCGCGAACGTTGTCCGTAAAAGAGAGGTTTGTGGCAGAAGTTATCAATAAATTTTTTCATAATTGTTATACAAATATGATTCAAATACAAAAGCACAACCGAATCAACATGAATAATTCACTTTTGTTTCCTGTAAATAATTTTTGTATTTTGTCAATAGTAAAATTAATTACATTTTTTCGAGACGAGACGGTACTTCCGTGCTCACCAGAAAGCAAAAAAAAATCTAAACAAATCTTACCTTTGTAAATCTGCTACGAAAAATTCACACGGGCACACGACACGATCGCTTTCTTTTCTTTTCGCGGCAACCAAGATCTATAGAGAGAAGGTTACCTCAGTAAAACCGGTTGAAGGGGAGGGACGATGAAGTAAGGGGGGAGATAAAAACAGCTTGATGGCGAGGGGCAATGAAGGAAGAAGAGAGCATGATGATCTCATCGATAAACAGTAGCTGTCTGAGATAGCTTCTGTTTGCCGATGAGATCATCATTGCCCCTCTTGCCGCTCGCCCCTCTTGCCACTCGTCCCTCTCTGCATTTGCCCCTCTTGCCGCTCGTCCCTCTTTGCGCATGAGGTAACCTTAGAGACCCTAAAAAGAGCATTGAGTAAAAAGAAACAGGAGGGAGCGTTTGGTCGTAAAAGTGCGGACGGAAGTGACTATATAAAGTGGTCGCTCAAGATGGCCGCTCAAGGGCGCCAATATTGAATGACTTGTTATGTTTAATTAGGAAATAATGTACAATTAAAAGAAAATAACTATAATATGCAACAATAATACCAAATTTTAATGGCGTTTTTCATTGGGATTGCACTCGTGCAGTATTTCCATAAGAGCAATGTTAAAATCTAAATTTATATTAAATCCTTCGTTCTTACAAAAATTTATCCATGCATTTCTTTGATCCGGATTTTTCGGAAACCTGTTTGTGAGTGAAAATTATTTAGTAATTATTGTGAATCTACAATTTCACAATACTATACATATGATTATAATCTCCAAAATAAAAATCTCATTATTGTTGATAATACTAACCGATGAAACGTTATTCCATGATTTCGAGCTGCTGCTGTTATGCCACAAGCTCTACAGTATACCTATTTTGATCGTTTATTTTCATACACTGTTGCATAAAAGACTATACACTGCATATTAATGCGTACGGCGTACGGTATGCCGCTTGCCGCTATGCTCGAGCATTCCCTCTCACTTTCAAAAAGTGGTCGCTCAAGATGGCTGCCATGACGTACATCCGTCCGCGGATTTACCTAGTCCTGGCTAGTATATGCTCCCTCCTGTTTCTTTTTACTCAATGAGTAGGTATGCCTACTTTTATAATTGTACAAATACAGTACCGAACAAATGTATTCGAACAAATGATTTTTCTTAATATACTTAAATAATTCAATGTATTAACATTAAATTAAGTTTATAGTTTATAGCATAGTTTATAGAGAGAACAGAATGAT